GGCCGCTGAGCCCTGGGGCGCCGTCTGGGTCTGGCTGGCTGGGTGCGGTTAACCCATTCTTTCCTCTTACTGAGCCGGTCCTTTTTTTGGGGGAGGTGGTGTTTGCTTTCCTTTTAGGCTAGGGCGTCTTTTTCCTTACAAACTTGCATGTGCCTTCCAGTTGGGGGGACGGTGCCAGCACTACATGACAGGCTTTTGCAAAAGACGGGGCTGGGCTGGCCTGCCCCTGGGTGTGGGCCAGTCAGACAGATGCAGGGCGTGGAGCCTGCAAGTCGCCTGCAGCTGCAGAGCTGGCGGCTGCTTGTGATAATAACGTGGATTCAGAATCCCATTAGCTGCAGGTTTTTCTGCACTTACAAAGGTCATTGTTATCATGGCTCTTTCAATATGACCAACTCGAAAGCCTTTCGTCTGTAAACTGGACAGTTGAGTGCAGCTCAGGCACAGGCGCCCTGTCTGTCGGGGACGCTCATGGGAGGAAGGCGAGGGACAGCGCCCCCAACCTTTCTGTTGTTCGGAACTAGGCATCTGATAGGACTCAGAGTCAGGACTTGCTGGGAATGGGGCCGGGGCAGGGAGCAGCCCCGGGAGCTAAGGCTCAGGGGATGCCCGGGGCCCTGGGCCTTGTCCTCCCAGGGGGGCCCTGAGCTTCAATGATCAGAGTCACACTGCCTCATCTCCTAGAGGTTTTATATGGAACCGTTCCTGAGTTTTAACTTCCTTAAAAGCAAAGCTATTTAACCACTAAGTGTCTGTCTGAAAATGGTCACAGTGACACCCACACGTACTAGGAACCGTCTCTCTCTGCAGCTGGCGTGCAGTTTGCACCAACGCAGCCAGGCCCGGCCCTGCCCCTGCCGTGCAGGCCCATGGCCAGGTGAGGCGCTTCCTTAAGTCAATTCACGAAAGGCAGGTGACCGGGGCCTCTGCAGTCCCTCCAAGTCCGTGGGAGCATCGGCTGGCACAGGGAGCTTGTGACAGTAACGGCGAAGGCACTGAGCACCCAGCTGAGGGCTTCCTGTGGGATCCGTGACTCATGACTTGGCCCTCACACCACCCGACAAACCTCGCGACAGTCAACATTTTAGTGTTCAAATCGCGGAAGTGATGGCCTCCGTCCCCCGCCTTCGCCCCTCACCCCCGACCGTCATCACCGTGGGACTGATTAAACAGTTTACTGCCAGGCGGCGGGCTCCCTGGCGGGGAGGTCAGGGACTGGCTCTGTCCTGCTGTGGCTTTTGGTTTTGCTGCGGTTCCTGGAACTGCGCAGTTAGGTGTGGCTGAAAGGTGAGAGATGCCAGCAGGGTAAATAAACCCTGTGGGTTTGTCTTTGGGTTTCCACGAGCAGGAGGCGCAGGCTGGCAGGCCTGTCATGCTCCAGCCTGTTCTCGAATTCTGGAGTTGACCGAATCTCGCCAAGGACACGTGCAATGAGACACAGGCATTGTCCCCAGAGCCACGAAATCGATGACCACGGTGACTTCCTCAGGACCTGGTGGGGGGGCAGTGCATGATGGGAGGTCGTCGTGGGAGTTTTCCGTGAATGACCATCCACCGAGAGCCTTGGCCCGCCTCTTATTCACACACCCCTCGTTTCCCACGGCGGCCTTTGCTCCATTTAACACTCGAGTGGTTCAGAGCCGACTGGTCCGCCGCGTGCTCGCTCAAGTTCTGTGAGTCAAACGCTGCAAGTTATGAAGGAACAAACCGAGAAAACCTTGATCCTATAGGAAACAGAGATAATGTATTTACTTAGAAGCAGCAAAACCTCTGGAGAAGTCTGAACGTCACCCGCACATGGAAGAGCCCTTATTCTTACACAAATGCCTAAAAATAGGGGTCACCATGAACTCTCTATGCGGTCGAAGGACTGCCTGTAAAAACTGGCCGGACGATGGGTTCGATGCGTCTGGCCGGGGACGCTCGGGTGCCCCCTGCGAGTGAGGGCCAGCAGGGGCGGGAGTGGTCCTTCGGCTCGGCGACTGAGCATGGCTTTAAAACGTTCACGGCCTGTTTTCCTCGCATGAGTCACAGAACTGGTTCTCAAGCCAAATTCCAAAGGAGGATTCGAGAGAATGTTCCGGGCTGCGGCGGTATTTGGCAAGTACTCGGCCTTCCCTGGAGACACTCACCTGGATTTATAGGTGATGGTGCGTTTGTGTGGAGCCAGGCCTCCTAACTGTGCCGCGTCTGCCCGTAGCAGGCGGCCCAAACTGCTGGTGGTAGTTATTTTTCACATGTTGCGTGAGTTTAATGACTTAGCCCATCGAAGAGTGAGTCACCTCCTGTGAGCTGGCCCACGTGCGCGGTCAGGGGGGGTGCTGTGAACGCCATCGTCACACAGGCGTCCTTTTTATTACCGACCGCCTGCTTTCCCGTGCGTGTCCGTGCCACACAAAGCAGCCAGGCTACGTCTGCAGAGCGTTTTGCTTTTCAAAATATGAGTTAATGCTTTGCGGAACTGTTTTCCACTCTCTCACTCTGGACATAAAAATGACGCATGAGTGCCTTTCTTAAATCAGTGTTTAAATTCCTAGAGGTAGGGAAGGGAAAGGAACTTTCTCCCTCCCCGGCACGGCGTGTGCCAAGCAGCAGATGGCTCGTGGTGTCTGATGGGGGAGCACGTGTTTGCAGGAACGATCGGGCGTTGGTGCCGTCAGCCTGCACGGCTGAGACAGTCTCGGGACCCGTCAGCCACCTCGGGTCTGTCATCTCTTTGGGCGACACCGTGGCCGGATGGCTCCCTTCCCTTTGGTTACCTGGCGCCCGAGAATGTGGAACTCACAGCGGTGGCTGTCGGGCTGGCTGGCAGGCTTTCGCTGTCCTTTCTGTCCAAGCCTGTGGGGAGGCAGTTCTCCACCCTGCCTGGCCCCGGACGGCCCCGGGGTGCCTGCCTTTCTGACCGCTGACGGCCAGTCTCTCCCATTCTCGGAAGCCGTGGGTTTGGACACTAAAACATCATCCTCTCTGTAGGGCCCGTTTCAGCACTGGCCGAGCTCGGAAACTTGGCCCCAGGCCACAGGTCTGCTCACGTGTGCCCCCAGCAGCCCGGGACCCAGTGTGACGAGGCTGGAAAGTCGGCACTGCCCCCTGTTGGTGGCCCGTCCCCATTGGCCTCCAGCCTCAGGACGGACGTGCTATGCTGTGCCGGCCGTGACAGGTCATTCTCAACCATAACCTGGGCATTCAGGGGTGGCAGAGGTCACTGAGAGGGCCACCGATGACCGGATTCATTCCTTCTCTGTTTTTCATCTACCGTCCATCTCGCCTGTCATCTGTGGATCTTCTATTATCTATCCATCCATCGTCTCTACCATATAGCCATCTGTCATCCATTATCTATTACCCTATTATCTACCTATCTACATACCTCTCTGTTTTTCATGTTCTGTTGAAATAAGGTCCCCGTGGGTCCCTCGGGAGGAGGGGGCTTGGCTCTGCGCCAGGCCCTGGAGCAGCGGGCTGATTTGTGCTTGGTGCAGCCTCTGTCCCTGAGGTTGTCCCGGACCAGGACGCAGCAGAAGTGGCGCCTCTAATAAGCGCTCCCCTCCCAGAGGGAGCCTGGGTCCCGTCCCTCTTGTGCTCGTCACCCCTTTGTCCACGGTGACAGCCACATGGGGCGCCACACTTGAAGGGGAAGAGGCTGAAGACGTGCACCTCACAAGGCCTGTGTGGAGAGGGGTGGCGGGAATGAAGGGTGGGCCGAGGGGTGCTGGGGGGAGAAGGGGCTCTGTGGAGACGGCGGGCACCCCTGAGCTCACCAGACTGTTGGGGGCTGAGGCAGCAAAGCCGCGGGGGCCGGGGTGGGGCTGAGGCAGCCGCAGCAGAGGTGCCTGTTCCCTAAGGCCAGCACTCTGAGCTGCTCTGTTCCGGGTCACTCCCCTGCTGGCTTCCCTCTCCTGTGTCACATGAGTGACACGTGCGTACGTGTAACACTGGACTGAACACATGCACGTGTATAAAACGTGCTTATATTATAGAATATAATGTATTGTTACACTGTGTAGCATACGTGTGTAATCATAGATATATTATACATTGTAATTATGTTTTATATACATAATTAGTAATTAAATATAATTACATAATACTTTATATTGTATAACATAAATATAAAAACGTGTATATATAACGTAGTGTTATACGTAATAGTACTTTCCTATATAAACATGTTCTGTATTTTTACATTGTCGGTGGAAATTTTACATTGTTAAATACAGTTCGGTCCACCATGAAGGTGCCTGCGCTGTCACTGATTTATGCACAAGGCCCCACATCTCATTACAGGGAGTCTTTCTTCCTGTCCCCTCTAGGTCCTGCCTGGGAGGGGTGTGAACCCACGACAGCCATCTGTCACATGCTCTTCGGAATGGTTCATACCTGTTCTCCTTGAGGGCAAATGCCTGGAAAGGGAGTCATGGGGACCGTGACGCAACTGAACGTGTCTACATTCCTCACTCTTGTCTGTTCTGGGGGGCGGGGAGGAGCGGACACAGATGGCACCGAAAGGTGATTGTTTTGGGGTCCTAGACAGAAGCGTGCCCTGGCACCCTAAATCACTCACAGTACAGCGAGACGTCACAGATCGGAAGGCAGATAGACTGAATTATTGGGGTAACATGCAGCTGCACTTTTAAAAAGCGTTTTATTTTTATGGAAAGCAGGATTTACCAGGCAGGTGGGGGCCCTCACAGGGAAGTGTCACGTGAGTTTGTGTTGAATTACAAACAGTTTCGGGGTGAGTGTGTCCCTTTTCGGTCTCCGGACTGATTGCCCATGAGGCTCTAGACGCGCCTGGCTGAACAGTCCACATGGGGGACTGTGTTCCAGGCCCTTCCTGCCATTGACATTTTGAGCCGCACTTGGGTGGCACCGCCTCTGCCCACCGCTGGGCCCTGGGCACTTAGCGCCATCGTCACTTGTATTTCCGTTTCGTGTAATTTAGGATCAATGAATGCTGCAACAGGGCGTTTAACAGAGACTTCCGTGTTTCTCCCCAGGGATACCAAGGCATGGTGGACGGTGGCAGCAACATCGTCGAAGCAGACTGGGAGAGCGTCTCCAGCATCCTGCAAGTGGTGCGTGCCGCGTTCGGTGCCGCGTGTCCCTCTGTGCGAGTCGGTGACCTTGGTCTGGCAGCTGTTGCGCTCGGGCTCCAGGCGGACCTAGAGCAGCCTCGCGTGCTGCTGGCCTTGTTCTCACGTGCAGGGAAAAGCCACCCTCGCTGTGCCGTTTAATTAAATTTCCTGCAGAGCCTCCCATCAGGCCGACGGTGGGTTACACCTGCAGTAAAGTCCCTGTGGTAGGGTGTTCCTCGTGACAGTCGTAGCAGATTTGCGTTTTTTTTAACGCCAGAATAGTGTTGAGGCAGCTCTGGTTTGTTGGTGCTGTGTGTGCAGCGCCAAATCTCTGTGCACGCTGGGTTTTCGACACCCCTGGCATCAGGGCGACGAAGCCCGGGAGAGGCCAGCTGGCGGTGGCGTGGGCATGGAGGGACGCAGCATCCCGTCCTGGCCTCCCAACCGGGTTCCCGGGGATGAGGTAGTCACCATTACAGGCGGAAAAAGTTACTACTTTGAACTTAAAAGAAACCTGCCCTAGTGCTTTACGTTCGTGTCGTATTATGCCTGGCACATTCCCGGAACCCTGAAGCTTAGGGACGGCTCCAAACAGCTGAGAAATGGATGGAGCGTCACGTGCAGAGAACGGACTCGTGACAGCTCCCGTGCCGAGCTCTGACATGGAGGTATCAAGCTGTGGCTCCCGCCGAGTACTTTTTAGTAGAAAGAATCAAATCGGTACCTTCCCTCTGAAGGTGCTAGTGCAGCAGATGACGGGATAGAAACATTTTCAGCCGTAGTAAAGAAGGCAGTCCCACGATGTAGGGCAACCCGGTAGACTTTGTGGGCACATGCTTGCTACGCGAGATCAGTCAGAGGACACGTGCCATGTGATGTCACTCATGCGGGTCTAAAATACTGAACTCACAGAAGCAGAAGGTAAGATAAGACCTGCCAGGGGCTGGAGGGTAGGGAGATGGGAACAAATTTCCAGTTACAAAGTTCTGGAAATCTAATGCCAGCATGGTGACGGCAGTTAGCGATACTGTGTTATGCGCCTGAAGAATCGCATGGAAATCCCAGTTTTATAAGTGACCCGTCATGTCTGCCAAGGAGCCCTGCACTTTCTAAACAGCTCAGAGTCCTTCAGTTCTGAACCACCAAGTGGGAAAGATCCGAGTCTCTCTCCTGGTAGGCTGGATGACCCAATTTAAGTTTTCCCAAGTTCTGGCTTTTAAGAAGGAGAAGGGCGGGGGAGACGTAGGGGAAATCAATCTCTCTGCCTTGCAGACTGCTCTGCTCTGCCTGCACATAGGCTGAGCTCAGACCAATGGACGAGGGGCCTTGTGACCAGGGGCTGCTGGACACGCACTCCTCTGGCTGAGGCTGATGGCCAGCGAGGGCCTGTTAGGCTCGGGGAGCACGGGGTCGAGCCCGCCCTGCTGCACAGCCTCACACGGGCCTCCTGGTTCTGTTGCAGACTCTTCCCCGCTCTGCGTGTCACTGACGCTGCCATTGATCCTTGTTTCCATACCCTTCTTGGCTCCCTGGGCTGTGAGGCCTGAGTCTCCATCCACTGCATTCCAGGATGGAGCTAAAAATGGGAAAGCCACGGCTTTCACAGGGGACCGACACTTGCCTTTGGAGAGCCCCGCATGTGCATGAGCACACGTGCCCCTGTCCAGCTTCTGGTCCAGCTGGGAGGAGACGCGACAGGTGTCGTCGTTTCTTTTCCAGGGAGGCACCATCATCGGCAGCGCCCGCTGCAAGGCCTTCCGCACCCGCGAGGGCCGCCTGAGCGCCGCCTGCAACCTGGTCCAGTGCGGCATCACCAATCTATGTGTGATCGGCGGGGACGGGAGCCTCACCGGGGCCAACATCTTCCGGGAGGAGTGGAGCGGGCTGCTGGAGGAGCTGGCCCGCAATGGTCTGTCTCCGCGTCCCTGTGCATTGCCCTCCTGTCCCCCACTGGGTCCCCCCTCCCCTTCACACGCTCCGCCTGTTAACTGTCACAGAAGTGTCCGTGGTGTTCCAGGTCTCACAATCACCACTTAAATTGGGCCTTAAATCACAACGATGATAAGGACGATGATACTTTTCTGTACTGCACTGAGAGTGTTGTCGCATGGTTCCAAGGTGATGTGGAGCACGACCAGCGGAGGCATCTCCCTGGATGAACAGCCACTTCGGGAGAAGTGTGGGGCGCTTGCCCCCAGCTCTTAAACTCCACTGGGGAGCAGACAGTGGCCGGCAGACCAGGCAGCAGCCTCTGTCCATTGCATTCTGGTCTGACGCAGGCTCGGTGGTGACAGCAATAGCCGCCCGAGTCCGGGCCTGAGCTGCCCCCAGCCCTGCCCATCCTGACTCCGGTTAGGCAGGTCTGCCTGCCCCGGCGGCCTTTCCTGAGTGCCCAGTAGACCACCGCTGACAGCCCCATGGCCCTTGGGAAATCCATGCGACAGTGATATAACACTCTGAAGTGCTTAATTCCAGGACTGGGACGTGCTCTCACTGAGCCACGCCCTTCTCCCTGCTGCTACCTCTGGGAGTCAGATGCGATCCCCTGGTGATGTGGCCCCTTCCCTTATTTCTGTGATCCCATGCGCCAGGACAGTGCCCTCCCTGTCACCACCTCCACCGCTGTCCAGCTTTTGTTCCCCTGAGCATAGAGAATTAGGTCGAGCAGAGTTCTGGGGAAACAAAGCAATGGCTAGAAAATGCGTTCAGGATCGTGGGTTTCCTGCCCACGGCCGTCCCGTCCCCCAGCTTGTGTGCCCAGGGGCTGATGGGCTGCTCCCAGTGACGGGCAGTGTGGCTTGTGTCCTCTGCAGGCAAGATTGACAAGGGGGAGGTGGAGAAGTACGCACACCTCAACGTGGTGGGGATGGTGGGCTCCATCGACAACGACTTCTGCGGGACCGACATGACCATCGGCACCGACTCGGCTTTGCACCGAATAATCGAAGTTGTGGACGCCATCATGACGACCGCCCAGAGGTAGCCAAGAACCCTACTGAACCGGAGGGCAGGTGGGCAGGCGGCATGGGGCCTATGGCGAGCTGTGGCGTAGATGCTAGTGATGCTTCTGGAAGGTTCCACAGATGAGATTCTACTGCAAGTCTGGTCACTTGAGTGTTTGAAACTAGTGCAAGAAAATTGTCCTCTGGTTTACTTCTTATTTTTAATTTTATGAAGTTACTTTCCTCCCCCAGTTATAAGATAAAAATGTGTTCATTGGAGAGAACTTAGAAAACGGGAGAGGAAATTACCTCCAGTTGTGCCCTGCGGGAATAGTAGAAAGTAGATGTGCCTGTGAATGTCACCACACGCCCTTGTCAGTGACAGAGGCAGCGTCACCACGTTGTTACATTCCTAGCCTGCCGGTACCCAAGTGCGGGTGACGTTTCATCCACGGTGACAGACTCCCAACAGAATCCTTGCAGCAAGTCCTTAGGTGGCACTAGTTCCTGAAGCGCTCTTCAAGAGCACTCTGAGAGTCAGCAGGAGCTTCCCATTTTGTGGACGAGGACCTTGACTGGCTCAGCCCAGCGCCTGGGGACCCAGGGCCACATGAAAGCCATCTTGTCCCTCCAGGGTTCCCCACGGCACGTAGATTTTGCGCGTCACGGGTGCCATCCAAGCCGTCCATCGCAGGCGTGCTGGGGGCCGTGTCCTGTCACGGTGCCTGGCCGAGTGGCTGACCACCCAGGAGAGCCAGTCCCTCGGGGGAGGGTGACTGTGTCCTGGAGTATCGGTGTGTCAGGGGCCCAGCGACCACGTTATAGAGCACGGAGCTGCTCGAGCCCCTTTACTCGCAAGAGCATTTGCTTCAGGAAAAGGTCCCGTTTGGGGGCCGGGGCGCGTGCCGCAATTGTGGAGGTGCCTCTCTGCCAGTGCGCATCGCCCCGCGTCCCCCCGCGTCCCGGGCTCTCCTCAGCGGCGCTAGGTGATGTTTCCTCTGTCTCTTTTGCAGCCACCAGAGGACCTTCGTTCTCGAGGTTATGGGGAGACACTGTGGGTATGTACAAGGGCGCAGGCGCCAGGAGGGAAAGGCCTGCCCCACGTTCCAGGGGGGGCCCACATGCAGGCAGATCCCGCGCCTGTGTGCCCATGGCCCCCAACGCGCAGGCGCGCCCTGGTCCCCGAGCCTGTGCTGGCCCCTGTGGTCAAGGTCGACCTGCTCGACTACTGCCTGGCCCGGCGGACGCAGGCAGCCCTGGGCATCGCGGCCCTGCTCCTGCAGCAGAGCTGCACCCACTTGCTGCGGTTCGAGCTGTGGTGCGGGCAGGCCGGCGCGGGGCTCTGCCTGCAGGAGGGCCTCGACGACTTCCTGCCCCTCATCCACGTGTACCTCCAGTGCAGGACTCGGGGCCCGTTCACTCGCCCAGTGAGAGGTATGGGAAAGGGGGCCCCACGCGCAGGCGCGCTCCACTCCTGTCTGCCTATGGCCGCCTCGCGACACCCTCACTGCGCCTCCACAGGTACCTCGCGCTGGTGAGCGCCTTGGCCTGTGGGGCAGACTGGGTGTTCATTCCGGAGTCGCCCCCGGAAGAGGGCTGGCAGGAGACCATGTGCGTCAAGCTGTCGGAGGTAAGGGGACTCGTTCCGGCGGCACTCGCGCGGCCGTGCTCAGAGCGCCCTCTGGCCGTGCGTCGGGGCGGACGGGCGAAGGCTGGCCC